AGCCAACAGGATCAATTTGCTTCAAGAGTTCTAAGTCTTCTTTCGACCTATGCTTTGTTGAGGTTATAACCTTTGCAGCAGCATTGTCTTGGGGTTGAGGCTGTTGAGTGGCATTTGCCTCGACTTGACTCTCTTCGACTTGAACTTCAGCAGTACCAGCATCACCATGATCCCCTTCGCCAGCGTCAACGTGATCCCCTTCGTCATGATGTCCCTCCGACAGATCAACCACTTGAATCTCTTTTGGTTGTTGCTCTTCTGTTTGTGGATCTTCTGTTTGTTGTTCTTCTGTCTCAGCATTGGTTTCATTTGTTTCAGCATTGGCTTCATCGTTCGCCAAGTCTTTCTCTTGTGGCCTACTGAGTTCAGCAGAGTCCAATGTTTCAGAAGTCCTTGGCGCTGAGCTTTCAGTGGTTTCCTGAAAAAAAAGAAAAAGAAGAATTTTCTAGGTTAGAAAGAGACATAATCGAACATGGGTATCGACACCTGAGTTAAAAAAGGGTCAAAGAGATTACCTGTAGAGGAACTTCAGCCCCAGGGCTGGAATTGTCGCTTTCGACAGGTTTATTGAGAAGAACATTTAGTTCCTCCTCCGTTGGCTCTTCAATAATTACTGGAGGTGGCCTGGGCTTTCTCCCAGCAACCTTTATTCTGATTGTTCGAGTCTCAGGAGAAGGAACGTCCTTCTTCAGCTTTCGCCTTTTAAGAGGAGCAGGGGGAGAATCGTCTTCTTCGTCACTCCCAGATTTGACCGTCAGTGCTGGTCGTTTCTTGGGTGAAGGTGCCTAAAAACCAATGGGAGTTCGATTTAGAAGCTACATCGAAAGTCAGAATGTTAAAGCCAGAAGAAAATAATAAAAGTCTGGTTACCGGTGCAGAAGGCTTTTTCGAAGGACCTTCCCCCTGATGGCTTGTTGTAGTCTTCGCCGGTGCTATAGTTTTCGCCGGTGGTGGAGGTTTTGTCAAGGGGCCTCCTCCCTGATGGCCTTCTGCAGCTTTCTTGGCTGCAGGCTTTCGAACAACTGAAAGAAGACAGAATAATTAACAGGCTACCAGTCGAAAGGGAAAGACAAAATAATTTAGAAGAATGAACTTACATTTCTTTATTTTGTCCAAGACAAGAACAAAAGACTTCTGATGTTCGTCCACGAAGTCCTTCTCGTCGAAGAACTCTTCAGCGTAGTAACTTTTCCACCACTCTTCGAAGGATGGTGAGCAGAGAAAGTTAAGCTGATAGTCGAACAACGAAAGAACTGTTCGACCAGCATACCTGCCGATATGCTTAGTGGCAGCGTCTTCAGTGTAGTCGTTGCAAAAGTATAACATAGACTTCTCCCTGGGAAAAATAGGAGAAGGAAGTGTTTGAATGATACCAAACTGGCGGGAGACCAAGTTTGGTTGATACGCGATCAGGCTCAAGTGAGTCTTGGAGCTCTTGAATCGCAGGGGCATTATTCTTGGTGTGAGGAATGCTTCCCACACTGTTGTATGTTCTTCGACCTGAGGGCCACTTGACGACTTAGGATGGGGCCTCGTGAACCACTCTGGACCAACCTTTCGTCGAGCAAAGGGAGCCATGGTCGAAACAAACTCTTTCCTTTTTGCAAACATCAAGACGAAGTTTGTAAAAGTTTGTTGAAGCTCCAGCCCATCTTCAATTGGGGTCAGCAGAGCCAATCTGGTGCCTTCGATGCACCTATTTGCTATCTCCGGAGCCTGCTCATTTATTTGAGTCTTCTGAGGTAAGAAAGACTCGAAGGTGGCATTGAGCCATAGCTAAAGTAGCCAAAAAGGTCCTGCAAGCAGCAGACTGGCTCTGTTATCGATGATCTTCAAAAGAGTCGCTCCGCTGCTAATCGACTCGTACAGATTCGCCAAAATCAATTCTGCCAAACAGATATTTTGGCCATGGTGGAGTTGAGTGGCGAGGGTGACCATCTTCTTGGTCACTTGTAAAGACTTTGTGAGAACACAAAGCGTGACAACCATAAGGCTAGAAACGCGATATGCTCTACATCCGACATAGTGGCCGTCGACTTATCGTGATAATGATTGATATAGGTGGTATAGGTTGGTTTTGTGGCAGAGAATCCAATCTGATCCTCTGACATTTCCTCTGGGTCGAAATAGTCCCCAGTGGGTCGAAGACCAGTGATGGCAGCCACGTCGAATAGCGTGGGTGTCAGCATTCTGCAGGGAAGGTGGAAGGTGAAATGGGTGTAATCCCAAAAGAGTAAGGAAGCTATCAACATTTATGGGGAATAGTTGAGACCCGTTTTCGACAACATAACCAGGTCGAATATCCCCAGGTCTTTCCAGATCGAAGCCTGCATTTTCTCCATTTTTTCCAGCCAAGCACTGTAGTCAGGAGTGAGGCTAGGGCTAGACCTGAAAGCCCTAACACCCCGATTGAGGAAGCGAAGATCGATTTTCTCCTTAGCGGGATCTTCGTTATCCTCGGCATCTTTCTTAGAGCATCCAACAGGTTTGAGCCTCTCGAGCACTGGAAAGAAGCTTTTGATCTTCATGGCTTCAGCGATGCTTGGGTTGAGCGGGCCAGACATGGCGAAGATTTGGTTGGAGTATCCAATCGAAATCATGAGTTGGCGTGAATAAGCGTCACGTACAGCAATGTCTAGGGGTTCAGGAACCCTTCGTTGGCCTGTAGGAGTAACTACAGGAGCAGTGGAGAAAATCTTGGGTTTAGCATTTCCTGAGGGGATGTTAGAACTAGGAGCGGTGGAAGAACCGGACGCCATTGTTGATGTTAAGGTTGAAGATGAAGTGAAGAACAGGTGGTTTGCAAAGTTTGCAGAGAGTTTGTGTTCAAAGAAGTTTGAAGGCAAGGTAGCGTGAAAAAGTCCCACAATGGGTACTTGGCGCTATTTATAGTAGTTGGGGAAATCCCCAAATTCGAGGACATTTAATGCCATTTAATGTTGCAGAAGGTAGTGGGACACGTGGCGTTCCCCTGTTGACATAGTCGTTCTACAGAAATGAAAGGGTGCAGCGTGCGCCCTCGTTTTTGAGAATTGTCATGATGACGATTTGTGAAAAGACATTTGGTACGCTGCACGCCGTACTGAGATGACGTCTTAGGTACAGATGAAATGATGGCTTTTTCTTGGGATTGTCAGTGGTTGGTAGAAGACAAAAAAGTGCACGATTTAATTTGTGACTAAGAGTGAAAAGATAGGTGTCGAATGGAATTTCAAAGAATGCCTTTTTCTTTTCAGAGTCGAAATAAGGCATTCTTGAGGGGCAATTTGTTAACTCCTAAATTCGACACCCTTGTTTTTATTAATATCAGCCATCAAAGCTGAAGGATGTTTTCGACCAACTAGGTCTGTCGAAATGCCCATCGGAAGATGTCAGTGTACTTAGGGAGTTTCTTCCAAGGGAGAATTTGGTGGCCTTCGACGTCGAAGGTGTGGCTCGTCGAAGATGCCTCTCGACGAAGGTGTTCGATTGCTCAGAGTGGGACGGTTTGAGATTTAAACGTTTGGAGGGAAAACGGTTCTCAGCGGTTACCAAGTGCAACGTGCAAAGATCTGGAGCGTCAAACGCTGAGAACGTGCCAAGTGGAGTCATCTCGAAGCAGTGTAACTGCCCGACGGTTACTTGGGATGTTTAGTATAAATATTAGTAGTTCATGCAGTTTTTCGCGTGTGTTCACAATTGTATACAAGTCACTCATATAGATTCGAGTACCCAGCGTGTGAGAAAGAATTGTTGAGAATGTATGTGTGAAACACCACTTTTATTAATCAAAGTCATTTATTTTCCAGAAACTTTACTTGCTTTCTCCTTTACTTTTCCTGTCGAAAACCTTTATTTCAAGCCTTCCTTTATTTTATCAAGTTCTCTTCTTCATGCAATTTACGTAAAGCTTCTTTATTTTCTTGTCATTTAACCACTGTCAAACTTAATCAAAACCCCAAAATCAACCATGTCTTAGGATCAATCTGATCGATCCTACGAGTAATCAAATAAGTAACATTTGGAAGATCAGCGGTTGTTTACCAAAACCAACGGTAAACAGTGTTTTACTTACTCCTTAGTCGAGAGTCTTATATATAGAGGTGCATAGACCTCATTGATCACTACATATAACTGTTGTGACTCTTCATCAAACGTAACTGAATTGCCATTTAAGACAAGAAATATTCGTCTTGAGATTTGGAGGGTCACACAAATATGTGTAAGCTCCAAACGATGTGTCTTACTTACTCCTTAATCGGGAGTCTTATATATAGAGGTGCATAGACCTCATTGATCACTACATATAACTGTTGTGACTCTTCATCAAACGTAACTGAATTGACATTTAAGACAAGAAATATTTGTCTTGTCAATGATGATTATTATTATAACGCGCACCACCATGTATTGATGAGCGGTTACGTCCTTGATGAGCCAGTCACTTTGTAGCAACCCATGAAGACCGAACTCTATGTAACATCTGAATCTAAGTATAATGTCTGAATATAAACCCGACTGACACCTCTAAAAGTGTTTTTATCTTTTTTAGAATTTGAAACCAAAAATACACTTAAGAGTGACTGATATTGAGAAAGAGAGAATATTAATGCCATATTATCAGCTTACGTTTATACTAATTAAGATGGAGCTAGATGCTAAACATCTAAAGACGTAAAGTCAATCACAAGATAACCTACACCCTAACTAACTCTAACCTTAGAAACTCTAACTCTAAACAACCTCAGAGGGTTTAATAACCACTTAACAAACTAGTGAATGATAAACGACTAACTATACCAATGTATCTAAGTGAATGATAAACGACTATGTGTCTAACTTTTACCACCTAAGTTCTATTGAAGAGAAAACATGATGTAGTTTCAAAGAGAAAACATGATGTAATTAACAGTAGTTAACAATCCTTACAAGAAAAAGTTAAATGTTCAAATCTAGATCCATCAATATGAAGATTGATGAGCTTGTACACAAAGAAAAAACGAGCAAAATTTGATATTAATCTAGTTAACCTTGACGTTAATGACATTGTTCCTTTCTTGTTCCTTCATCTTAGGCACAATAACCTTGAGCACGCCGTTTTTCATCTCAGCTTTAATCTCATCATTCTTGTAAAGCTTATCCGGTAAATCAATTCTGCTAGAGAATCGACGACCACTTTCCTGACTTTCTTGACCACTTTCTTCACCTTTAATAATAAGAGTGTTCTGTTCCACGGAGATCTTCACATCATCCTTACCGAGTCCAGGCATATCCAAACGAAGAAGTAGAGCATCCTCTGTCTCTCTCGCATCCCATCCGCGTCGCGAAGCAGCAGAAAGGACCGGATTGTCCGTCAGTAAATCCACCATGTTTAGGACTTGACTTAAGCTCCGTGGTGGAGAAAACGGATCGAACACATCTAAAATCAATCAATATAAACAAAGAAACTTAGATTATATACTAGTGAATCAAATCAACATAACAGAAGAGGGAGAGCGATAACAACTACCTGAGAGAAGAAGATCATCGCGGCGAGTGCGAGGGAAAGCGCGGCGATCGACATCAACGTTACGGTCATCGGAGTGTTGATCGTACTGGCGCATGGCGTTGGTGTTGAAAGAGGCGACGGGGCGAAGGAGAGATCTTGAAAGAAGGGCGGAGGAGAGAAATCGCTTGACTGCAAGAGAGGAAGCCATTGGGATTGCGAGAGAAGATTGTTCAAGAAGAGTGGAGAATGGATACTGGAAATTCTGTTAGCAAAAATAAAGAAGAAGGGTTATATTTGAAGGAGAGAAAGGGACGGAGTAGAAGGTTCTGGAAAAATGTCGAGAAGGTTCAAGAGCTCAGATATTCCGTTGTAAATGTTTCTCGAAGGTTCAAGAGCTCAGATATTCCGTTGTAAATGTTTCTCGAAGGTTCAAGAGCTCAGATATTCCGTTGTAAATGTTTCTCGAAGGTTCAAGAGCTCAGATATTCCGTTGTAAATGTTTCTCGAAGGTTCTCCCGTCTAATTCGTTGCTGCTCGCGTGCTTACATATTTCCCATTTAGTCTTATGGAGTACTTCCTCTTCTTATATTATTAATAAATTTCACTTTTTTTTTTATTTATTTATAAAATAATTAATATATTTAGTTTATATATAAATCAGAATTAATTATTTGATAAATTTTTTTAAATTTTTTTTATAATATGAAACGGATGAAATGTTTTATTTTCTTGTAAGCAAAATTAAATAATTTTTTAAATAATGTTTTAGTTATAATTTTATTTTTGAGTATTTTTAAAATTTTTTTATATAGATTTAACGAAGAGCTGAATTAGATACACTATATTCTAACTCAAAATAAATCACGTATTTCTATCGTTATTAATTTGGGCTTCTGAGTGATTGCAAATATTCTTTTTCCTTTCTTTGTTGTCGAATAAGAAAATCAATATTCAAATTATTATGTATTTGTCTTCAAGGTTTATTTTAGAAGGTTTAATAATGAACTCAAAGTAAAAAGATGCGCTAAATAGGTAGACTTTCACTCTGATCAGAAGCAGACGCTTACGCTATCCAACAAATCAATCAGTGTCTAATTCAATTAGACAGTTGTCGACATAACATGCCATGCGCGAATGGTTTCAATGCTCTTGATATACAAAGGAAAAATGTGTCATTTCTGGTATTCAAATCGACCCTCATTCGCATTATTTATCATTCTCTCACTAACTTGGGCGTTAAAGTGTTAACTTTGCAGATCTGTCCTACTCGATCACATCGAAAGCACCGCTCCACCACATTGAGAGGCAAATCCCCCACCTCATCTTCTATTTCTAGTTCCAACCAAACAATAGAGCTTTGACATGCTATCCTCTAAACCAAATAAAGATTTTGCACACGTTGATCTTGAATCAAGATATAGTTTTATACTGGCTATCCTTCAAATGAAGATAGAGTTTTGTACTAGCTATCCTCCAAAATGAACCAAATTTTTACATTGGATGATCTCAAACTAAGATGGAGTTTGATATAAACTATCCTCTGAATTGAGATGGAGTTTTGCAGTAGCTATTCTCCAAGCCGAACTGAGGTTTTACAACTCTCCTCCATTTAGAATATTTTTGTCCTAAAAAATTTACCTTGTTCAAACAACTCAGGATAGGAGTTTTGCATCTTGCTTTCCAACTCTTACGTCATGCTTTCTTCGGTAGCTCCTAACTAGACTATTTTCACCAAAGCAATCTCTTTTCCTCTTAGAGTCTTCATTTCACGATCTTCAATTCCTACATGCATCGGGAAGGCGCACACCTTCTCTATGCGTCGATGCACTGTTCTGGGAAAACATGAGTCTGCGCATCAAAATAGTGAGTCAGCGCATAACTAAAGGAACTTCAATCTCTCTCTCGCTCGGGAAGGCGCACGCCTTCTGTATGCCCTGCATGAGTTGACGCATCGCTAAATTGTCTTAATTTTCTGCTATGCTGTTACATCAAGGGAATGACTTATAAATATTTTTTTAGCCTCTATTTGGAAAGTAACAAGAAAAAGTGAAAGATGTACACAAGAGTTCTCTTCATCTTCAACCTCTCATCAATCATCAACAACTACACATAATCATTCTTGTTGATTAAGTTCTTGGGATTGTGTTGATAACGTCTGAATTGAAAGTGTAATTTCAGATTTGGGTTGAGATCTTTGTGGGTTTTTTCTTGAATAAAATCATTGGGGTTTTGTCCTCCAAATTGAAGGTTTTTATCACAAATGTTTGCTTCATTGAATTCAGCCGAGCTAAGGGATTGGAAGACAGTGGAGTGTTCAATCAGGTAGCGGTAGTCGGAGGATTGTGAAGAAGGATTTGGGGCCAAAGATTCTTGAGTACAAAATCATTCAAGGTAGAAGAAGCTTTTGTTCAAGATTTGGCATACTTGATTCATCTAGAATCAAGGGAAGAGGAGTGCATCATATAAGATTCATCAAGTGATTTTGAATTGTGGTGATTGTATCTTCTCTTACAAACTTTGCAAAATTAATTTCATATCCTAATTCTAGATTCTAGAATTGGGGGAAGAGTAGCTTACGCGAGGATGACAGGGTTAACTGCCTTAACAAATACCGTGTCCAATTTAGTTTTCTGCATTTTATTTTTATTTGCTTAAATTTGTGAGTTATCAATTTTCTTATGCATACAAAATAATTGCAGTGATAAACTAAAATTTAAAACTCATATAGCATTCATTCGAATTGCTACGATCACTACAATTTGAGTATAACCAAACCTTGTGTAGTACGTACACTAAGTGTTTGGTGAATTTACAACTCACAAATTTGCTTTATCTTCTCCGCAACTAATTGGTAATAACTTACACCTTGTTAAACTTGCTAAAGCGATTCATCATATTCATTTTTAATTGTGATTCTATTCTCATCTTTTTCATCAAAATTAGTCCGCATATCCGATCTTTTCAATACGTAAAGTTTAGATGATCAGATTTAGGGTTATCGCTCTTTGATAAAAATAATTTTACAAAACACGCAAATTTTTAAAGGGATCTATTTAACCCCCTTCTAGATCTGTCACATCGTCTAACAAGTGGTATCAGAGCACTGGTTTATCCAGTGCTTCACATACAACTTCTAGAAATGGACTGTGGTCTAAAAGGGGCGTACAATAGAGCACCCGTTTTCACAGGTGAAAATTATAGCTATTGGAAAGATTGTATGCGTGTCCATATCACCTCTGTTGATAGGAAAATATGGAAGGTTATCCAAGATGGGCCATTTGCAATAACTATGCAAAATGCTGTCGGGATAACCGTTCCTAAATCGGAAGCACAATGGGATGAAAAAGATGAGAAAAATTATGCCTATGACTAGAAAGCACGAAACATGCTCATATCAGCTCTAGGAGTTGATGAGTATTTTCGTGTCTCACATTGCGCTACGACTAAGGAAATATGGGACACTTTGCAAGTCGCGCATGAGGGCACAAATGATGTAAAATTGGCTAGAATCAATACTTTGACGCAAGAGTTTGATCTTTTTCGCATGGAGTAAGGTGAAACCATCGTCGGCATGCAAAAGAGATTCTCTCATATAATGAATCGCTTGCATACACTAGGCCATGTAATTGCCAATTCTGTTGCTACTAATAAAATTTTGAGATGTCTTAGCAGGGATTGGCAACCTAAAGTTACTGCAATTAAGGAAGCCAATGATCTAAATATTTTGGATCTCACCACACTATGGGGAAAGCTTCAAGAACATGAGCAAGAGCTTATGAGCCTTGGAAAGCATGAAAAGAAAGAAAAGAAGGAAAAGTCAAGGGACTTGGAAAAGAAGTCGATAGCACTAAAGGCTTCAAGCTCTGAGTCATCCACCTCAATTTCGTGTGAAAGTGAATCAAGTGATGACGATGAGAGTCTGGATGAAGATATGGGATTGTTCGTAAGAAAATACAATAGATTTCTCCGGAAAAACGAATTTCAGCATTCGGATAAGAATCTCATCAATTATAGAAGCCACTCTCAACCAAGCAAGCAAGATGAAAGTAAGAAGTCTAAGTCACGAGGATCATGCTACCATTGTGGCAAACCCGGTCATTACAAGCCGGATTGCCCCTATTTGAAGAAAGACAAAGCCAAGGCCAAAAATCAAAAGAAACCAACCAAAGCTAGAAGAGCATACATTGCTTGGGAGAGTGACAGTGATACCTCAAGTAAAGGTTTCTCAAGTGATGAAGAAGAAACGGTCAACCTTTGTCTCATGGCTCATCATCATAAGAAAAATAATGTAAGTCATGCTAAGTATGATCATGTTGATAAAATGCCTTATTTAGAATTGTTAAATTCCTTCAATACTTTACAAAAAGAGGCAAAGGAAGCTTTCAAATGCCTTGCCTCAAAAAAGAAAATATTTTTATATCTAGAACTAAAGGTTTCCAATTCCGAAAAGGAATTAGAAGCTCTTAAAGCATCTATGATAGAAAATATTGAAGGAAAATGTGAAAAAGAAAAGAGACCTTGGTTTAATTGACATGGATGTGAAACTTGTCATGTTTGGCAAAAAGAAGTTAAGATTCTCAAAGCCAAACTAGACAAAGCTTTACAAACTAAGATTACGTTTGCTATCGATCGCTTAAACTTCAGAAAAAGTATGATTAATCCATATCAAAAATATACCTATGAAGTAAGGGATCAAGATAGCAAAAGTAGATCTCACTTAGATATGTCTTGCCTATATTGTTGCAAGAAGGGACATACCATTAGTAAATGTCGATTTAGGAGACTATTAGTTCCTAAAGGCATATATCAATGGCTCCCCAAAGGCAACAAATGTTCAACTCACACTCAAGTACCCAATGAATGTTGGGTACCTATATCCCATGTTTGATATTTCAGGTGGAATGTCTTGAGCCTCTCGAGAGAAGATGGTTTCTCGGTAGTGGTTGCTCAAGACACATGACGGGTGACATTTCTCTATTCTTTGACTTTGTGTCAAAGAAGAAAGATTTTTTTACTTATGGTGATAACAACAAGGGAGCAATACTCGGTAAAGGTAGTGTAAATAATCCCTCATCCACCACTATCTGAGATGTCCTATTAGTTGAAGGCGTTAAACACAATCTTATTAGCATTAGTCAATTATGCGATAAAGGTTACAAAATTTCTTTTCTAAAGGATGAATGCATAATTGAACATAATGATAAGAAA